GGCCCGAAATGGTGTAGTCAAATCTCTGTCTGTTTTTTAATCACTGTGTGTGAGAGATGCAAAAAAAGCAGGCACGATGACAATCACACAGTCACAGCCATCATCTTCACTTTTTAAAAATTATATCCTGAGGGGCATCCCTGCTCTGAACTACAGATCAGGAGGCCATCAGCTTACAAGCTTGATGCAGAGAGTGATTACAGCCAAGTCTGGAAATCCCTTTTGTGGACTGTTGGAAAAAAGTAGATGGTGCCAACATATTTACTTGAAGGACACAGGTTAGGAAGGAGAGAGAAAAAAACCTGAAAATATATAGAGGATTCCCTTAAATATGAATTATGATAAAGATTAATGAGTCAATAGAGGCATTTGCAAAGAGAAGCAGAGATGGTCAAACCGATTCTTTTATCCAAAGAAGAGAATATACTTAACTTTCCTTCTAATTTGAAATTGCTTCTAGATTTAGTGCTTGCAATGAAAAAGAAAAATGAAATCTTGATTTTGTTTTTGTTAATTAGATAGGTTTATTGTTATAGAAATGGTTTGTACACACTGTTGCGTAAAAGCAAAAAGTTGTGATTGTAATGTTGTTACCTTCTACTGTGCTAAAAAGAGTCGGAAGTTGGTGTCTTTTTCTTTTCTTTTCCCTCTTTTTTTTTTCCCTCCCCCTTCTAGTTTTATATTACTTTTTTGAATTTCTCTTTGTATTTTATATTTTGACAAATCAATAAAACTATTATTATTTTTAAAAAAAGGAAGGAGAGACAAACATATCATGTTCCCCATTTCCCTAAAACTATTTTGGAACTGAAGACTGGAGAATTATTTTCTTCTACTGATAAATTAACTATATTAATTGCACCAGTATTAACTGCCTGTGTAGAAATGCCCACTGATTTTCTATCCACAGTAAAAAAGAAAAGATGATTTAATTTGTGGATTAGAAGCATGTACATCTGATTTCCATACGTATCTCATTCTGATAGTAGATGAGGTAAATTTGGACATGGTGGGGAGAACAACTACAGGGAAATAAACAAATCAAGAGAAAGATCCTTGAAAGAGCATCTTTTAAAAAGAGGAAAGGACATTTTTTAAAGATTTTTACATTCTACTGCCTCAGTAAATTCGTGTGTTAGATGACACTGATTCTCTCTGAAAAATAGTTTGTATTCAGAATAGCTCTTGGTGTGCATATTTTTACATATATTTAAGTTTGTGTGTAATCTTCATAGAATTTCAAAGGTACACATTTAAAAATCAGAAAAAGAGCAGACAACATAATTTTCTGAAAATGCTATTAATGCATCAGTACTATGGAAACAGTCATTACGGCTTTGAGGGCAGTTTCTTTGGATTTTGTCAGGCAATGTACAAGAAATAGTTCAGAAGACTTTCAAAGAATTATCTTTTTTTTTTGATGCAGAAAAGGAGTGGTTTCAGCCTACCCCAAAGAGGCATCTCTGAAGAATGAGTAGCTGATATTTAACAGTCTTCAAGCTGCACTTATTATAAAGCTTATAAAATCATACCAGCCTTTTATTCTTTCCTTATGGGACAGGAAGTTAGCTAGATATGACAACCAACACTTTCAATATTTGATACAGTTTTTATTATTAACATTCTGGCCCTTGATGTAATGAATGCTACCATCAAAATAGCAACTGCAGAACAAAACATTTGAATGTGAAAAATGAGAGTAATAGATCTCATAGCAGATGCCAGGAGAACGTGGCACGTATTAATTTACCAAAACTACTAAAGATACATTTAAAATTTTGTAGTCTAGAGCAGAGGTCCCCAACCTTTTGGGCACCAGGGACCGGTTCCATGGAGAGACATTTTTCCGCGGACCGGAGGGGGTGTGGTTTCGTATACTGTCTGCATCCTGAGGATGGAGCTTTGCTGGTTTGTGCAGCCCGGTTTCTGGCATGCCGTGACCCGGTACTGGTCCATGGACCGGGGGTTGGGGACCCCTGGTCTAGAGGTTAAAAAGAATCAGCCCAACAGTTTTCCTGGATCTGATATGATTCAACAACTTGGTCCATTCCAACAACGTTAGGAATGTGTCTATTCCCAGCCTGCAACATGACATATACTTAAATAGCACTATCTTACGTAGCAGTGCATTTCACACCTGGGTGGGGGAAACTGACATGAAAGGCCTACCTGCCCCCCACCTCTGCTCCAGACCCCATCTGCCAACCAGAGCAGGTGGCATCTTTTTTGTGATATGGTCTTCTGCGGATCCTAACTCATTGCAAATATAGTCAGAAGTTCTTCCCTGAGACGATTTAGCTTATTAAAGTCCAGCGGAACAATCTATATGTCAGGCAATCTGTGCAGTGCATGAAACATAATATAAATGAAATTATCTACTTTTAATAGGTCAGTTTAGTAAAGAATACTGGAACAACTGATTAATTGAAAGTAGACGTCTAAAGGGCGGACACCTTTGTATGTAATTTATTGCATATTTTGGTTTTTAATATTTCTTTCTGAAAAGCAGAGGTAAGTATGGGATTCTTTTATATTGTTAGTACTTGTTTCTTTAGGAAGAATTGCTGCTAAATAATCACTACATAATAGACCAGAGGTCTTCAAACTTGGCCCTTTTATGACTTGTGGACTTCAACTCCCAGAATTCTTCAGCCAGGCATGGTGGCTGAGGAATTCTGGAAGTTGACGTCCACAAGTCATAAAAGGGCCAAGTTTGAAGACCCCTGTAATAGACCAAGTCATTATAATGAAAAGAGTGATAAAATACAGGTGAATTTAAGGCATCTTGCATTTTATCTTTTATGAGTGCAGAGATATTGTGAGTCTTGGCTTCTTATTTTTATTTGCATCTGCAAATAAGGCAAATTTCCTCCTCCTCCTCCTCCTCCTCCTCCTCCTCCTCCTCCTTCAATGAAGCTACCTTCTTGGCTTTGTTGTTGGCGAAAAAAAGTCATTATCGGTTTATGTTTCTGGTAATAGTCAACATACCAGCAGGCAGACTGGGCTCTGTATCTCTCCACATTCCCTCTCCACACATTGTTTGCTAGTGTGCTGCTTTCATATTAAATGAGTCATAGATCCACAAATTCTATGCTAATATTCTTCTTTAATACAGCATTATAGGTGGCAAGTATGAGGCCATTAAGTAGGTTTGCATTAATCGAATAGCCACATTTGGAAAGGAAATGCGAATACCATTATTATGAAAAGAAAGCAAAACTGTATCAGTTAAAATAGCTCCATAAATGGGCTATATATAATTCATTTGGATAAGGCACACATAGCAGTCTTTGGGCAGGGGTTCAAAACATGCCATTGAACTGTCAACCCCTTTTTTATGTGTGTCCATCCTAAAAGGGCTGCTTTGGATCTCTGGGATTTTGTTGAATTGGATGGTAATTATTATGCAGTTGATATAGTCCTATTACTAGATGAATCCATTCCAAACTTAATAACCATGTAATGTAACATGTAATAACCATGTTATTACAACTTTCTTTTGGTGTTTTCCAAATAACTTTACCCTGTGAAAAACATATTTTCCTAGTTTGTTTTTTAAAAAAAGCCAAAAGGGAAAAAAAAAATAAGGGGATGGGCATGTAAACAGCTCTACAAGACCAAAAGAAAAAAAATTAATACCTGTTGTATTAAGTGCCTGCATTGATTCTCCTATGTGTTTCAGATCAGGCCCTTATCATGTACAAATGCTTCATTCAAGGAGACAAGACTTTTCACAGGACTTTTGCACGATGGAACTCACTTTAATAAAAAGGTTATCCAAACACAATAGGAGAATAAATGCAGACATCCCAAACAAGGCATTTTACAGTACTTTAGAGGTCATTTACACTGGATCAAACGTGCTAAAATGAGTAAAAGCCGTACTATCCATTGCTTATTAATGAATATTCTTTGAAAGTAGATATGGTAATGTTTTCAGATTGCATGGGTGTCCATGCATTATAAATTAGCTCAGAATTGCAGTGGCACATGCATGCTTCTGTAACATTTGAATTGACCCATTAGACACATTGTCTATGTGGATTCAGAGCCTCCTCTCGTACTGGAGCTTAGCTGGCTAACCACAGCATGTGTGAAGCATTGAAGACTATCTTCCCCTTTCTTTGGCAGGCAACCTTGGTTTTATGGCTGGGGCTTTAATCTTCCACGAGGTCAAGCGCTCTTAGAGAAATGGAACCTAATTCCAGATGGAATAGATATTCTTATTACACACGGACCGCCTCTTGGTAAGAAAATCCTGGTTCAAGTTCAGTTTATATGTCTCTGCTGTATTCCTGGGGACAGATAACAATTCTGAGTCTTTGCCTTTTCCATGAAGCTCTTCAGATGTAAACTGGTGTTATTCTGGGGTGCTTTGTGCTGAAATAGTAATCGATCCCTGCTTATTGCCCTAACATTAGTAAAGTCACTTGATAGAGTTGGCCTCCATTAATCATTGAGAATAAAATAATTCAAAGTTAGAGCTAAGTTAAATTTGCTTCGCAAATGTTTAAAATGCATCTCATTGCAAGCAAACACCATGTCTCCCAACTCAAAGTTTCTACAAGTTAATAATCATATTTCTCAAGTGATCAGGGTACCATTAGGCAGTACTGAGGACATTCATAGCCAGTGGTGAAACAAAATCAAGATGGCGGCCACAATTTGGGTTTGAAGCTTTGACCCTTTTACATGTAAAAAGGGGTGGGGCTTCAGACCAGCTACCATCTTGACTTTTTTACACTCCCCGCTGCAGATGCCCCTGGACCCTTTTATCTCATACCCAACTCTCATTTCCTGCCTTTCTGTAGTCTTGTTTAAAATTCTTGCAATGAATGCAGGAAAATCACCAGAGTTGGCTCTATTCCACACCTCTTGCACTTTCATTTAAAGGCTGAACATTCAGATGCTCAATAGGTGCTGTAAGGAGAGTCTAGATTTTGGAGTCGTGATCTATTCTTCATCCCCTACAATATTGAGTAAGACCGTGAATTAAAAAGGGGGAAATTCCCAACTTTTTGTCTGTTAGAGCAGCGGTCCCCAACCTTTCTGGCACCAGGGACTGGTTTTGTGGAAGACAATTTTTCTATGGACCAGAATGGGGGGGATGGTTTCATGTGCAATCTAGATCCCACGCATGAGCAGATAAAGCTTCGCTCACTCACCCGCTGCTTGTGTGGCATGGTTCCCAACAGGCTGTGATCCGGTACCGGTCCACGGCCCAAAGGTTGGGGACCCCCATGTTAGAGGCAATTCCTTCTGGCCAGATATTTTTTGCTAATCCATGTAGATGCCAAGAAAGCTTTTCTGTCCCCGAGTAGGTATTCTTTTCAGATTACAGTTTTTGTGAAAGTTTTGTGAGTGGCTCCAAAAATGCTTCTTATACTGAAGCTTAGACTGAAACACTAAATGCATCCTAGACTCCAAGAATAGATTGCTGATCCCTCTTTCATAAGACCCACATGATGGCTGGTCTCTTCTACATAAAGCCCAAAAGATGAATCAGTAGCTGAATTCTGCTTTTTGCATTAAATTATGCTCAGCTTTGGAGCCTTAAGCCAAAGGAGTGAAAAATTTATTTTTAACAACCAAACTTTAAAAAGTTCTTTAGAAATAATACACAGATGGTCCTTGATTTATGACCATTTATTTAATGACAGCTCCAATTAACAACAGCCTTGGAAAGGGTGGATGCAAAGTTTTGTGATGGTTTTGTTTTACATGCTACCATCACAAAACACTGCATCCCCTCCAACAGTCTCATGATCACAGTCTGGGTCTTTAGCAACCTGTTTTGCATGTACAACTAGTTGCCAAGCACCCTGCAATTATCTGGTCTCCATTTGCAATCTTCTCTGCTCGTTTCCTCAGAAAGTCATTAGAAAAGTTGACAGGAAAGATTGCAAGCTGCTGCAGGAGGATTCCGTCTCACCTTTAGTGGCTGGTTGAAAGAGCTCCTTACCAAAGGATTTCAGCTCTGTCAAGCAGGCATAGAGCTGAAATCCTTTGCTGGAGAGCTTTTTTAACCAGACCCCAGAGATGAGAAGGAACTGAAATCCAAGCAGGATTTTCAGTTCCTGAGCAGGAAGGCAGCATAGTAAGGTTAAGCAGCATTGCTGTAGATGCAAGAGTTTACACTTCTCCCTGTTAAGTTTCTTCCTCTTTTTTCAGCCAATTGTTCAAAGTTTTTTTTTACTCTTCTCTTCTTCTTCCAAAGCTTTAGCAGTTCTAGGGTTTTTGCCTCAACTCCTCAACCATTTCTTCCCAGTCATTTTATAACAACTGTGACCAGCACAGCACCCAGGATACCCTAGTTGAGAGTCTCTGATGTGAAGCCATTCATGAGTACAGTATTAGTCAAGTATTTCTAAGATAAATATTTGCATTAACTCTGGTCAGGAGTTAGGAATCAATTAGTTTGCATCGGAATTCATAAAATTACATGCCTCAAACATATTTGGGGCTCATCAATCACAATATAGGAAACATGCATCGTTGAATTGGCTTTTGGTCTATTTTTAACCATCCCAAACTTTTGGTTCGGGTTAAAATTCATTGTTAGTAAAAACTTACAACCATTTCTGGCCAATAGAGATTGATTTCAAAATCTTTAGCTTCCTTAGCTCTAAAGGTAACTGGTTTTTTTTCCCAACAAGCATATGTTCCTTGGTAAAATCTGTTGGATATTTCAAATGGATCCAATACATCGTGTTTTTAACTCTGCAGGATATATAGGAGAGATCACCTGGTGTCTTACTTTCCATCTCTAATCTGCTGCTATTTTGTGTACAAAAAAGTTAAAGTTGGGAGTGTCCATGCTCATTGCCCACACGGTTGTTTCCAGTGGCCATTGGAAATTCTGCACCTTTTGATAGATACAGGAATTGTGTATATTGTTGGTTGTTGCTAATGTTCCTCTTACCCTGCTTTTATCCTGTTTTGCTAGTTATTTGTTTTGATGTTCACTGATGTTTATTAAATACATATTGAGTTATACTTTGCTATATAATATAATATGTGGAGTGTGCCCATATCTGATCTGCATATGGTATTTGAATAGGTGTATGCTAGGTACAAACTAAAGTGGAAATTATCCACTATAATTGTCCAACAAAATCTAGCTTGGAGCCTACCTAGTTGATTGTTGGCAACAGTGATTTATACTTTTTTGGCAGTTGCAGATTACAGTTTACCCAAATGTTAAAAGAAGGAAAAGAAAAGAATATCAAAGGCAGTCTTCTTAATGTTCACTAGGTATAATAAATTATTCTTAGTTTGTGTAGTCAGGTGTACATAATAAGTTACAAACATATGGGAAAGCTTCAGAAGGTTGATATTGCATGCAGACAAAAACATGTTCAACATAAATAACGCTTAATTTAATGAAGAAGTTAATTTCATGGATTTTAGTTCGCAAGATTTTTGAAGTGGAAATCCTTTTTGCCTTTATAAACCACCTCATTTACAATTAATTATTTCCAGTCATGTGACCACAACTTGAATTTCAGTCTTTCTTGGCTTGAGCAAGGTTTTGCAGAAGTAGAAGTTGACAAACCGCTATACATTGTGACGTCCGTGAGAGTCCATGTGAATTCTTGTGCAAGTGCACCATATGCTATTACTAAGGGTCACTGGTTAACAGTGGTGAAAGAACATAAAACAATGAGAACAGAAAAACCCAGCACCTGGTGCAATCAGGTGGTTGCTAAAGGAATGAGAGGTGAACAGAAAGGCAAATCAGAAGGGTGATTTGTAAAAGAACGTAGAGAAGAATTTTTAAAAAAATTGGAAGAGGAAAGAAGGAGACAATTTATTCTCTCAGCCGAACAATTCAAACAGGTTCCTACCACATCATCCTAGCAGGCCGGATTGGAGGGGAAGGGATTGGTCACGAGGGCTGTTATTATGAGAGCCCCCTGAGAGCAAGAGGGTGCAACTTCCTTGGAAGTGCCATCATTCAGAAGAAGCATCCAGAAACTGCAAGGCCCTTGAAGCCTGCAGAGACATTTCCCCACTAACAAATTCTGTATAATTCAAAGACTTCCATAGATGGTCTTTCTTTAAATAATTCCCTGAATCACTGGGGCAAAGAAAGAGTAACGCCAGTACTTCACAGTTTTGGCATGGTGATCATGGGCTAGAATAATGCTTAACAGGGAAGAATAGAGTAGAGTAGAGTAGAGTAGAGTAGAATAGAATAGAATAGAATAGAATAGAATAGAATAGAATCTGGAAAGGACCTTGGAGGTCATCTAGTCCAGCCCCCTGTTCGAGCAGGAGAACCTATACTATTTCAGACAAGTGACTGTCTGGTCTCTTCTTAAAAACTTCCAGTAATGGAGTGCCCACGATTTCTGAAGGCAAGCTGTTCCACTGGTTATCACCTGAATAGGTTATCACCTGATTGGGTTCAGTCTTCTAATGAGTGAATTTGTGAATTTGCAGATAAAGTAGAAGTAGATCTATCTGTTGTGAGAATCATATAATTGAGGACATTTTCCTGGTAACAGCAAACTGTTCCTGGCAGAAGAGCTAAACTGTTCCTAGTAGAAAGACTAAATCATGCACAAGAGCTACATGGCTTCTTTCTATAAAAGAAATGACACCAGGTCTCATCCTGAGCTTGGAGACTCCCACATTTGCAGCTTTCCTGGTGGGGTGAAGCAGCTTCTTCTTTCCATCCAGAATCCTTACAAGTCAAGAGCTTCTCATGCGGTTCATTTCCATGAGGGACATGCCCTTATGAAACTCTTTCCATTGATTATTATCTTTCCATTGATATATAATTTTATGGTACTACTCCCCAAAAAAGTGGTGTTATTAGCCATCAAACCTAAAAAATACACTTTTCCCAAAAGGTTTCCATAATTTTGGCCACTACTGTATATACAAAGGGGCCAGGAACTGATTGCATTGTTATGGCTGGCACCTTGACTTTTTGACCCTGTACCCCGCAGGTCCTTGTGCCCTGTTCATAGCCCACCTGGAAGTGTGCTGAAGCTGGATTCTGCTGTTTGTGGGAAGCTTCATTGTTCCCTCTGAATGCATCTTCTTGATTTCTTCAGCCATTATCCCCAATCAGAGCTCCACGTGAAAGGAGCCACTGAAGCCACTGAGTTCAACCTCTTGTTCTGTGCAGAAATCTACGTTCAACCAACCGAGGACTTGCAACCTCTGCTTGAACGTGGTTTAATGAATGGGAGCTCACCAGCTCCCACAGCTTTGGTCCACATCTAAACTCTTCCTACTGTGAAGAACCGTAACACTGAACTAGAATCTGCCTTATTTGGGCTGAAAATCACTGACCTGCAACTATCTTTTTCAGGCAACACAGATAGCTGGAATTTTAAAAATAATATATCACATTCGCCTCAGTCCCCTTTTCTCAAGGTTAATATCCTCAGTTCTTTGTGATATCTCCTCTCAATAGTATCATATTCGTTGTGATACCTTCATTTCCCGTTGCTAATTCAGTTTCTCTGAATGCTCTGAACTGGGTCCCCTTCTCAAGGTGAATTCTGAGAAATGTTTATGGGATCCCCTCGGGGGCAAATAAATATGAGTCACAAGCTTTGTCTTATGAATTGGAATTATTTAGAGTTGAGTAAGAGGTAGTAGTTTTTTTTAAATCCTCTCAAACGAAGTTGCACATCCATTTAGTACAAGGAAAGGGCATGACCGGGAGAAGAACTAAGCTGTCTCTGAGGTACAATGATCTCAGTCTGAATGGGGCCACAAAATGAAGACCTTGAATAGGATTCCCAGTATTTTCCAAATATTGCCACCAAATTATAAATTTTTAATATGCCAGAGAGCAAATATTAAAGCCACTAGGAATAATTACAGTATGCTAACTGTTCTTAACAGAAGTCAACTGCACCCTTCATACCTGGATTTTATCCCTTTCTTACAAGTTACTGTCATTGGCTGACAACTCCCTTGTTGAAAAACTGTTAAATGAAATCTTTCTCTGCTAAAATCTGCATTTAAAACATTGCAATTATTTTAGCTCCATTACAAATAGCAAAACTGTGCATTTGGCCTTCGAGCTTATTTTATATTTTCACTTGGGTTATACCCCAACAATAAATCACATCAGATAAAATAAAGATAAAAGAATGCTAAAATTATCTGATAGATTTATTGAAACTTTCTTTTGCATTTCTGGACCAAAATTATGTATTTGCATGTATTAGAACCATCTCTATCTTACATACTCATGAATACAGCTTTTAGTGGGTAGATTGACTATAATACCTTCTACTTGTATACATCATTTTTCAGTTTTATTCAATTTTATTATTATTATTATTCAATTTTATTTCTGTATATGAACAAAAATTAATTTCTAGACATTCATTTAAAGCTAGAAGAGCTAGATATAGAATGAAGCAGAGTCTTAAATTTGAGATGCAGAGTTTTTCAGCATTTTATAAATTGTATTTGTTTCTTATTTTGAAGGTTTTCTAGATTGGGTTCCTAAGAAAATGCAAAGGGTGGGCTGTGTGGAGCTGCTGAATACAATCCAGAGACGAATACAACCACGACTTCATGTTTTTGGACATATTCATGAAGGTGAGGCATTGTGTGTGTGTCTGTATTATTTTCATGGATAAAAATTAAAATGGATAATACAACGTTTTGAGATATTAAGTGTAGTAGGTAAGAGGTATGTTGATTAATGGTGGAACAGCTTGCCTTCAGACGTTGTGGGTGCTTAATCACTCGAGGTTTTTAAGACAACACAGGACAGCCACTTGTCTGAAATGATATAGGAACTCCTGCTTGAGCAGGGGGCTGGACTAGAAGACCTCCAAAGTCCCTTCCAGCTCTGTTCTGTTCTGATTCTGACCTCTGCTTTTGGCTATAGAAACTTCTGTCACACTGAATAAGTTTAAAAATCAGACTTTGCACAGCAAGGAGCAAGAGTGAGTAATTGCGTCCATAGTGGGGGACAAAAGAGTCTATAAGGCAACTGTATAATCCTGGTCACTATGTTGACTTTTCCCCCCCACACATATAGTCCACCCAATGCCTGCCCTTGAAGGAACCTACTTTTTACCAACTAGTAATGCTGGTAAATTTACAGGTAGTCCTCGACTTACAACAGTTCATTTAGTGACCATTCAAATTACAATAGTACTGAAAAAAGTGACCTGACTGTTTTTCACACTTACAACTATTGCGGCATCCCCATGGCCATGTGATCAAAATTCAGATGCTTGGCAACTGGTTCATATTTATGACCGTTGCTGTGTCCCAGGGTCACGTGATCCCCTTTTGCAACCTTCTGACAAGCAAAGTCAATGGGGAAATCAGATTCCCTTAACAACCGGGTTGCTAACTTATCAACTGCAGTGATTCACTTAACAACTAAGGGAAGAAAGAAATGGGGCAAAATTCACAAATGTCTCACTTAACAACAGAAATGTTGGGCTCAGTTGTGGTTGTAAGTTGAGGACCACCTGCATAGTGTTTGCTCAGGCACTATGCTGGAATTCATTCCACTAAGTTGAAATGGTATTTCATACCAGCATCTTTTAAGCAATAAACACAGTAAAGGGAACAGGTATATATTTACAGCAGATGACAGTAATTTACATAAAATAACAAACTAGATTTTTACCTTGGATTTCTCAAGTTATTCAAAATAGTGATGTAAAAAAAGTAAGTACTAGAAGGTTCCATTATGACATGGCTGCTATCTGTTACTAACCAAAGAGGCAGTGTTCATTTCTTGAATTTCTGGGAGAAATAATTACTGTTATAACCAGTCTATTTTCTTGAAAACCTTATTTCTTTGTGAAAACATCTGGCTTAAAATTCTTCCTAATGTGACAGAATCCTATTATTTTCAGTAAAAAAAAAAAGCTGTTACTCATTATCTTCTCTGCACCCTACTTCATTTATCAACATATATTTATTATATCTACATTATTATCTCTGTATCTCAGAATTTTTCATATAAGAATGAAAAAAGTGCTAGAAAGATTTTCTACGACAGGTTTTTGCTAGAATTTGATATATTTTTTCCATGATAAATGGGGAATAATAATATTCTGAAACTTTGGATCTTCCAGAACCATGATGAACATCAACTGTCTTATGGCACTTTTTTTTTTATCTGTATGAGTTTGCTTCTCTATAAAATAAATTTCCTTCATCCTTTATTTTTGATTTGCTCTGCCTATGGAAATGTCTCCATAATTTACCTAAACTGCACTCTGTTAAACTCTGTGGCATATGGAACCTGCTACATTAACAGGTTGTTTCCAAACATCAGTATATGAAGAGTAGCAACAAAGCCAACTTATGAAGGAGACGTAGGTCATTGTGACATTCAGTTATATTGAAGTAACAAATGTTCAACCTCTGAATGCTATTTAAAAGCTCCTAATGTCGAAAATATCTTTATAGGGACAAAGGACAGGAAACAGGAGCAAGAAAACCATAATTACTTGATGGTTGGCATCAGTGGTGGGATTCAAATATGTGAACAACCGGTTCTCTGTGTGGATGCTGCTTCCGGAAGTCCATTCTGGGCCTGGGCAACAAAAAATTAGCTACCGGTTCTGCCGAAGTGGTGCGAACCGGCTGAATCCCATCACTGGTTGGCATGCTCTTTCTTCTGTGGCTGTGTTAACTCACTCTGGATGTACATTCAATTTGGCTTCAGAATATCAGTTTATAATCTCAAAGGAATTTGAATTCTAGGGAGACGTCCAGATCCAACATCCAAAGGCCCTTCCATGAATGGACACTTAATATCCATTTCATCTGACTGATGATTTCATAAAAAGACCCCCATTTTCTTCCTGAAGAACCAAGTAGAATCCTGCATTCAATTTGAGGGGCCTAATCTAAATCTTAATGTTAAAGGTTTTAGAGAGAGAGAATTTATAGCAGAGAGGCCCTAAATTCTACAGGGAATTGTTTAAGTTGTAGGGATTTGAAATTATTCTTTAAAAAAGAGGGCATCACAGTGCTGTTTGCTTGGATACGTGCGAAACCAGTTAGAATGAAGATATTCAAGTTTAGTGCTGTGATTTATTGATGTTCAATGGGATGAATAGGGATTTCTATATGGCCACCATTTTGGTGTATGATAGCAGAAATAGTGTATTGAGGAAAAGCTTATTTATAACAATATTTTTAATTTTTTAGGTTACGGTGTTATGGCTGATGGAACAACTACCTATGTGAATGCTTCTGTGTGTACCATGAATTACCAGCCATTGAATCCACCTATAGTAATTGATTTACCTACTCCAAGAAACACATAATTGTGGCAGAATGAAAATACGTAATTTATGCCAATGTAAGAGCCAAGTAACCATGAAATTGTGGCATTATTTTTATTGTTCTTTATAGACAACGTGGAAAGATAGAAATGGACAAAGGCATTTGGTATCACAACTTTTTGAAAATGTATTCTTGGATTTAGCATTTCATTGTTTTAAAAAAATTGTTAATATGAAAAAGGAGACAACTTCTGCATTATAGACATTGGTTCATTTTGTATATTCCATATGCTGTATTGAATTTACGAAAAGACACGTCTCTTCAGCAACATGATGTGTTACGAATGCTTGCAGCTTTATATGTGTGTTCAGTAACAGCCTTCTTCATTTATATCTGTACAGAGGAATAATTACATTGAGAATCAAAATTTGTAATTGTGTGAAATACACTTTCTTTAAACAGTATCTCCCTGTAATCATCAAAAGAATAATAATCTTATTCTACATTATTTGGAAATCTATACACATCTTTCAATTTTACAGTGTGGAAGAAAACTTGTTTGCAACTGGGAGTGAATATGAAAAGAAAAATGTTATAATATGAATTACTGAATTGCTGTGCACAGCAGAAACATTTAAAAAATGAAATGGTTTAAAATGAAAACTCAGGAATTAGTTTTTCCTCCCGATAAGTAAGATATTCTGCTACTTTTAAATCTTATCTACTAACTTTTAGGTTGCATAGCCTTAGGGCTGATAGCAGTGGCCTCAGTTGGGTTTTTCTTGAGAAATGATGCAGGAAGCATCAGATAGAACCTACAATTACCGAAAGTCTATTAAACAGATTATCCAGGCTCTGTTATGGCTTTTTGCTGTTATTTTTAACTATAATTTTGTCATAGCAGTGATCCTAGAGAAGATCTATCTGTATGATCACCAAGACTGAAAACCAGTTTGGTCTAGTGCAGAGGTGTCAAACTCGCAATGTCACGTGACATGTCGCGACGTATCGTGACTTTTTTTTCCATTATCGGAAATGGGGTGAGTGCGGTTTCAGCATGACGCATCCAGCCTGCGGGCCAGCAGTTTGACACCCTGGTCTAGTGGTTAAGGCACCAGGCTAGAAACTAGAAGACTGTGAGTTTTAGTCCCATCTTAGACATGAAAACTGGCTGGATGACTTTGAGGCAATCATTCTCTCTCAGTCCAGGTTACCTCACAAGATTGTTATTGTGGGAAAATAGGAGGAAGGAGTAGTAAATATGTTCACTGCCTTGAGTCATTTATAAAAAAATAATAAAGGTAAGATTAAAAAAAATCAGCACTGAATAGATAGCACATAATTGACAAATCAATCATAGCAATACTGACACTGAGCATTAAAAATCACTTCAAAGTGATCACTAGCGTAGGCGAAATTCAGCGCAGTTGCTGGTTCTGTCAAGTCAGAAGATACAGAGGGTTCCACGTTGAAGATGGATTCACAGGTCAAGACCAGGAAAAGTGATAAACGCTGTGTCACAACTGAACAGAAAAGGGGTCATTTTGATGTAGTCAGGCCCAGTCTGGCTTCATCATTCACAGCTTCAGCTTAACTGGATTTGTGATATTGTTCAGAAACTGCCCCACATTTTCAGCCATGGAGAAGATTTCTCACCTTATGGTAACCCTCTATTTTTAAACAATTTGTTTTTGTGGATTAGCTTCCCCAACCCCTAATTTAGGTATGCGGGTATGTGAGATGAGCAAACGACTACTGCAAACTAAGGTTTGCATGCCAGCAGATGACAAGTCAAAATGGCAAAAAAAAAAAAAAAAGATGAATTTCTTGTACGGTCCCCAAGCACAAAATGTTTCCTCCTGTTGTCACATATTATTGTACACAATCAGGTAGAGGAATTTTATACTATGAATCCGTGTGGCTTTTTTAAAACATAGATTTTATAGTGAAAAATCATGATTTTGTAGTTAAAATCATGAGAAAAACAAACTGCATTTCTCAAACTAATGCTTACATGCACACTGCTAACACTTCAAAATGTAGTGAACATTTTGAAAAAAGCAGCTCCCCTTGTCCCTTTTTCCTTCTATGTCAATCAAGAGATATTCACTGAATATTTCCCCCTGAGACGATACTTCTTTCAAAACGCTAGGTATTTTTATGTGAGAATGTTACAAAAGGAGTTATAATCTTTAAAAGGAAATACTGAATTAATATTCTTCGGCGGTTCCACAGTTTTTAGATAACTGGATTGTTGTTCCAAAGTTGGGTGATATTAAGATGGACCAAAAAGTAGCCAAAAATGCAAACTTTCAAATTCTCTTAAACTCTCATCCATGCAGACTACAGAATAATAGAGTTGGAAGGGACCTGGGAGGTCGTCTAGTCCAACCCCTGCTCACGTAGAAGACCCTACACCATTTCAGACAAATGGCTGTCCAGTCTCTTCTTAAAAGCCACCAATGATGAAGCACCCCACAACTGATTAATTGTTCTCATTGTCAGGAAGTTTGTCCTTAGTAATAGGTTGCTTCTCTCCTTAATTTGTTTCCATCCATTGTTTCTTGCCTTGCCTTCTGGTGCTTTGGAAAATAGGTTGAGCCCCTCTTCTTTGTGGCAGCCCCTCAAATATTGGAACACTATCGTGTCACCCCTAATTCTTTTCTCTAAACCAGCCATACCCAATTCCTCCAATCGTTCTTCATATGCTTTAGTCTCCAGACCCTTGATCATCTTAGTTGCTCTTCTCTGTACTCTTTGCCTTACTGAAATCCAAGTACACTATGTCCACAGCATTTTGCTAGTCCACTAATTTAGTCACTTTGTCAAAGAATGAAATAAAATTGGTTTGGCATAATCTCTTTTTGACAAATCCATGTTGGCTTCTAGTTATAAATTTACTTGCTTCTAGGTGTTCGCAGATCTGTTTTTTTATTATCGTTTGCAGGATCCTCCCAGGTATTGATGTCAGGCTGAATGGTCTGTAGTTTCCTGGATCTGTTTTTTCCCCTTTTGTTTGAAGATGGGAATCACATCAGCTCTTTTCCAGTCCTCAGGTAGCCCCAGGTGTTCCAGGATCTTTGAAAGATGGTTCTGAGAACACATCTGCCAGCTCCTTCAGATCTCTGGGATGTAATCCATCAGACCCTGGTGATTTGAACTCATCTAGATCAGAAAGATGTTCTCTTACCATTTTCTTGTCTATTTTAATTTTTATTTCTAGTCTGTCTTTTATGGTTAAATTTTTGGTAGGCTGGGCTATATTTTTCTTTTGTGTGAAGACTGATGCAAAGAATGACTTAAGCAGCTCTACTTTCTCTCTACTGCCCATTACTTCCTTGCCATCTTCTCCCGTTAGTGGACCAATTGTTTCCCTGAAGTCTTTCTTCTTTTTTATATATTAAAGTCCTTGATTTACTTTAAGTTGCCTTAATTATTTTACCTTAATTTAAATGAAAGTCCTTAATTTACCATCCTTGAGTTGGAGGAAAATTGGGTTATTTTAAAAAGAGCTGCTCTCTTTAACCTTAATTTTCACTAGACCTTAGGAAGGGGGTGTTGGTGCCTTCACAGAAAATGACACAGCACCACACTTGGTCCTGGGCATTAGCAGTGGGAGAGAGAGAGGAATGGAAAAATTTGCTGGATGTGGTTATATTTCCAGATTTCTAAAGGGAATGTAAGCTTCATGGAAGAAAAAGAATATAGGATGGCTGGATGAGGTGCTGTTCTCAGCAGCTGAACCTTGAATAAACATGGAGAAACAACTGTTGCAAGTTTCCTGATCTCCAAAGAGGATTCCTACAGTGCTTATATGGAAGGCCTTCTGCTTGTTTATAGATAACATGAGTCCCTTGCCGCACCAATTTGGTCTAGCTTTACTTTGCCTCAGCAAGGCCTAGCTATGAGATGCCGCAAGAAAAAGTCCTCAATGAATGTGAACTGGGATGTCTTCAAGCTGGGGAAAGGATACTGTGTGGATAAGCCCTAAGCATACCAGAAACTGAAGAAGAATTTTGGAGAACACATGTTTTAGGTTTTGCCAATATATTTCCTAGCTATGGATTTTGAATTTTTTTTCCCTCATAAACCGGCAGAGCCAGTTTAGTCTTACATATATTTTGGAACGTTGTTGTAATTTTCTCTCAAGCATGTTAGAACAATAAACAATAAACAAATCTTTTAAAGCTAGCAGTTACGTGGTGGTGTATTTGGGGCATTCCAAATTAGTGGATTTGACTTGATTTGCTGTATCATGGGAATGAATTACAGAAAGAACACTGGGTGTTACAGGGATAATCCATAAGCAGGTGAAGGTATCCATCTTGCATGAGAACTGTGCTTGTGAAAACCGGCCAGATTGTATTTGCAGACCCACTTTAGATGCGAGTTGGCATCTGTATACTCAGGAGAATGGCCGCCTGCATTTGGAGATCACTAGAGTGACGCCGACCTAGGCCACAAGCTTTTGCCTTAGAACAGGGGTAGGCAACCTTGGCTCTTTTATGACTTGTGGACTTCAACTCCCAGAATTCCTGAGCCAGCTATGCTGGCTCAGGAATTCTGGGAGTTGAAGTCCACGAGTCATAAAAGAGCCAAGGTTGCCTACCCCTGCCTTAGAAGCTCTCGTGATGAGAGCGGAACCCTCATCAGTCTTCAGGATGTGACATTACTACTAAAAGAAACACTTTTGCTCAGTTGGAGGTACGCAGATTGTGATTGTATGGGGTACAAAACAATCACAAATAGCTAGCTGGCTGCATTGTGTGAACCTAACTTTTTTAGTGAGGCTGAGTTAGGGTTCATTGTAATGTGTAAATGTGGCCAACAGGTTAGTTCAATAAATTGAATTAAACTGTGATTAAGTCCACCATGTGAACACAACCATAGTATTGCACTGGCAATAAAACTCTGTAGCAAGGGGGAAGCCGGGCCATAGAACAGGCAGCTGCAAGTCTGGGTTCTTTCTATCCCTGCCAAAGGAAGAAGGGTGGAGCTCCAGCAATGGCTTCCTTGGGACTGTAGAACTGGTAAGACTTCCTTCCTTCCTTCCTTCCTTCCTCCCTCCCTCCCTCCCTCCCTCCCTTCCACCTTCCTTCCTTCCTTCCTTCCTTCCTTCCTTCCTTCCTTCCTTCCTTGAAAGATACAGTCACAGATATGACAATTTAGCAATCATGTTATATAGTGGAATTAAACCTGCTCAAAGGATTTTAAATTGTGAAATTGTTAGATTCTGATATTTCAGTGAATATGCAAATGGACGTCTAGAGCTTCCCTTAAAAAACTTAACTGCACACAATGGTTCTTGTGAATTTAATACAAAATGTAAAAACTTTAATACTTGTCTATCTCTAATTTATAGGGAACTATACTTTATTCAAAATAATTGCCCTTAAAATGGCCATCTATAAATGATTAGGAAATTTAAATGATATTACTTTGGACAAGATTGTTCTCCAAGCAGCACTTATGTCTAAAAGAAATATTTCCATTTAATTTCAAGTATGTAGTTTAGGCCACCATTGCAACTGAATAAAAAAAATATCAGGCCAATAGTTCATATTTCCAAACAAATGAATTATAACTCCATTTCTTCTCATTAAAGATACATGGCACATTTTCTCATGCTTTGGATAAATAATAAATACACAATTTTAATACCCTTTGTTGCTTTTCTCTCTTGATATATAAAAGTACTTTTGCATATCACCAGGGTGTATAAAGATATATGAGGCAAAAGCATTCCAAACTTAACATACCACATCTGATTTTCAATAAGACCCTAGTGTTTGTAAGAAAGGATTTTACATTTTACAAATGTTGTAAATTAAAATAGAGATGACATTTGCAGAAATGAAATTA